TAAACGTGAAAAACTTTCGTTGGACGAATTTTCTTGTAAACTTCATATTTACTGAGATATCGCACTTTGACGCACTAATGAGCAACCCTGTATATGGAAAAATGCCATTAGTCAGTTTAATGTTTTTTTTGTTAAAATGAAAAATATGAAAATGATTGCGATTGGCAATCAAACTGATTAAAAAAGTAAAACCCCAACTAGCCAGATATTACCATGCGTAACATGGTTTTTTAATTTTTGCCGGGAATTTCTGGCCGCAGTGCCCTAAGCTAATTGATTTCACTTTTTCACTCGACCGCTGACTGCCTGGCATGACCAGGAGCGGAATTAAAAGGAGAATCAAGATAAATCAGAATTAAATTTAGAATGAAAATTTAATTTCTGGATTAATTAAGCCACCATTGACTTCTCAACAAAAGTTACAATCATTTAGTGCTATGCAAGTCAATGCATTAATTAGTGATAATAGTACTGAATAACATGTGATTCGGAGCTGCTGAATCCTTTAATTCCGTTTTAATTGCATCTTTCTAGTCATTATTTAGATTGTGTTGGTTTCCGCATTGGTAGGACAGGTGCTAATTTCTGCTGCTTCCGTTTCGATATTTCTTCGGATTTGAAAAAAAACTAAAATATTTAATGAAAGTACAGTTTTTCATTTCAACGGCTGTTGCTTTCTATTCTAGGGTCTGATAAGTTGATTATTATTATGACCATGGCTATTTTCTTCATGACTGGTAGACTTAAACTGAAACTTTCAAAAAAAAAGTTGTTCGTCTGAATTGAAAACAGATCCTTTAAAGCTTTGTCTGGTCATTTTTTCATTAATGCTCGACATATACAGTTCAGAAACATCTTTTTTATTAATTAGATCTTCAAAATGCGCATTCGACGATGTATTTGAATAAAAATTACCATTACGATAATTTGTATTACAAATATGTCTGCCGATTCTGGCTCAAAATGTCCGAAGATCCATTCATTATTCTGGGACACCGGGTGTTAATATAAAATTACATCAAATTCAATGAAACAATTCTGATAAGACGCGTGCGATAAATATGATTTAAGTATGTATTTCTCCCAAAATGACTTTCACACTGAGTTTTCATATTTAATTTATTTCGCACAACTTTGTACGTTGTACAAAGTTGTACAAGTGATTGTTTGACTCTTAATCGAAGATACGATTTCATCTTCTTTACATTATTTTGTTTCTTCGATGATCTAGTTGGGGGATTTCTTTTAAGTAAGCTTAAGTGAGTCGTTTTAGTAAAACGAAACACCTAAGTAAAAGTGCTTATTTCAGAGCGTATTCTCAGGGTATGTTTAGTTCATACTTGTAATATGAATCAAATAAGAATGTAACAGATTCCATCATAGAAAAGTATTTCTTGATGAGTCTAGTTGTTACATTTCAGAATGTCAAGGGAGTAACCATATTTTGACTCACTGTAGATTAATTCTTAATGAAACTTTCGGCTGTTTCCGGTATGGTGCTTTGGATCCATTTACAGCTAACTCAGAGCGAATTGAGTTGCTAATCGCCACTCGACTCGCTTTAATAAGCTTCAAATCCTCGAGCTTTCCGGGTATATTCAAAATAATTATTGAAATATTCTGTAAGAGTTCGGGAGAATGTTATCTATTCAGTTCTAGTTCAATCGAGATAAATGTAATCGTAGTGAAAACTGAATTTCCAGACCCTGGAAGTATAGTTCGCATTTCACTATAATTGGATAGTAATCGAAATGAATCCAGTAAGTGCGTATCAATATTGCCCCAAGAAACCCTAATCTTAAACTCTTGTAGCGAATCACGTTCGTGATTCACTCATACTAGTGAGTATTTTCAGCATCTCGTGCATACATGTTTGTATAATTGAACGGTCTGCTGTGTGGAAAAAGAAGAGGCTTTCTCATTGAAGAAGATTGTTTTCTTTCAACACATTTTGTCGGATAGATGTAGGAAAATTCAAAACACCATCGGAAAATAATATGCAGGAATACAGGGTTGTCAGATACAGATTCTAGATGTTAAAGTAGCAAGATTTAACCAAGCATGTCGTAGCAAAATATGTATTGCACGATTACGATAATGCAAGACGTTAAAGTTCCTATTTCAATTTGAAATTTATGTCATAGCTTGGACAATTTTAATTGAAAGTTCGCAAAAAGTTGGAATATTAGATATACGGTACTACGGTAGTAGGGCCTGGGTAACACTGTGATGAGTTGCCCGTTTCAGTTGATGCCGCTCTGTGAGTTGGTGAGTTATAACTCATTATTAGCCGCATTCATTAAAGCGGATTAAAGCTTTACCAGAGCCGAGACTGAAACTTTAACATCTGAAGAAAAGGTCAACAACATTTTTATGAGTACT